AAGAACGCCCGCCATCGAATATCCGCACACCCGAGAGTGCTCTTTCAGTGACGATTATATACGAGATCGAGAGCGGCAAGGCAACGCACTGCTTCTGTTCAAAGAGTAGACAGACAGATGCCCGGCCGTCGAAGTACCTTATAATTGTTGTACCATGATGAGTGCACACAAAGGCATGCATTGACAACAATTTCACAACTACACACAAAAACCTTCAGGGGTTATATTATATTATATACACCTTTTTCATATTACAGTATGTATCTCAGCAATCATTCAGCTGAGGTATAATTATACCGTTCGTTATCTATGGGTGTATACAATGTATACTAAGAGATGAGCACCTGTCGGGACGTGCTGACGATCTTGGCCACATTGGGTAGAGACCGGCACACAGAACGCCTGATCAGTTTTGGTGTTGGCAGAGTTGTGGTTGGCCTCATCGTGGTCGGATCCGGCAATGGCAAACCCAGTGTCATACAACAGTGCCACAGAACTGTGCTTCTTCATGTTCTTCAGCACGCTGCAGAGACAGAGAGACTGTATCCACAGTAAGCAGTGGTGGCAAGATCAGCTACCGCCTGCAACTTAGTACTCGGCAGTAGCAAAATGAGCATAAACTAGTTCACAAGAACGGCAACTTAATGTGAACTCTTTAATTCATGTGCCCGTATAAAAATGATACTCTGTTCATATGTATTTGTATTATATCTCTATAGAAATATGGGAAGCCCCCTCCTTCCTTCTCTCTTGTAGTATGTAAATCAAGCGGGAGCTGATATTTCACATGCATGTTGTACAGGAAGTATGTCCTTATGTAGCAAAAATTTAGCTTGGGTGAGTGCACCAATTGGTAGGGTGCAATATTGCATCAGCACTGCTCTTACATACGTAATCATTCTGTGTCCATATGTACCTCAGAGTGTTGTGTGAGAGGAAATCGCTCCCAACATTAGTCTCTAGCATTTCTCTCATGACAAGCGTCTTCCCATCCCTGAGTCAGAATAACATTTGTAAGTATAGAGCACCCGTGGCAAAATTTTTCCAAGGTCGTGATTTGTTCATGGTTGTATAAATACATAGATGAGAGTGGTAGTTTCCACATAATAGAGATTCTACTTTGTCACATTTGTAATATACTTGTAGGTCCTATCGTGTATAGTGAGTGCACAACATACCATAGAAGTGTATGTTGTATGTACTTTGTATTACCTTCATAATGCTCTGAGCAGAGCAATGTGGTCGCTGCGAGACTCTTCTGCTACTTCTCTTCACGTCATCCGCCTCCTCTTGCTTGTGCTGCAACACATATACCACGTCACATTACAACACTGCCATTCTCACGTGTAACTATCTCCACAAACTTTGTATGAACACTCAAAAATGCATTCATACCCCCACATACATACACACATATAGATGGACCAACACAGTTCTAAATCACATTCTCTGTCTCTCCTCACCAGAGGATGATAAAGTTCTTGAAGCCGAGGCTACTGCAATCGGAGGGACGGGACTGAGGCAAGAGAACATGGCAGCAAACAGAATGATCTTCCCCACACGAGGTTCACGGGCAGATTGGCGAGATGGTAACCGAGAGAGGTCAGATTCTCCTCACCATCAAGAGCATTCTGTAGCGGGGTCAGAATATATGTATAATGTGTATCATGCATCACACTATATTAGCGTGGGGTTTAATTCATAAGTAGTTTGTGAAGCAAACACTCGGAATAGTCCACACCAGATAAAATACAGGCAAACTTCTTCTGCAATGCTAGAGTATTGTGATAGTTTTTACACAGACTGTTCTTTGCTGGAGGGATGTGATGGCATTAAGGAAGACAGCAGTCTCGGAGGGAGGCGCGAGGCCTGTTGAGGCAGGCAGCTACGGCCCCCAGTTTCCTGATCTGATCTGAAGAATGAGCTCCTCTAGAGGTGTCCTCAGCATCTCCGGACCTGGTAGTCTGCCAGTCCCTCCTGCTGTGCTTTGGTGAACTGTGGTAGCACTTGCCGGTTGGACTCTGCAGTACACTACAGAGAGGTACGTACGTAGCGATAATGAGGTAGTGTGTTTTTAGGATGTCCAAGAATTCGTATCTCTCACTCCCTTGCTCTGTGTGCTAATGCCACTGTCAAAAAGAGCATTAATGTACGGCAGGTGATGTATAACATCTGACCTTCCACCGCCTTTCCTCTGTTTTGCGGCAGCCTTACTCACCCGCCTGCTTCCACACATCGCCAGCTGGTTAGTCACACATCATACGCCTGAGCACCGAAATCAGCGCGTAAATCTACCTAGCGTATATTAGTGATCACTGACAGTTTACCCTTGAGACTTTCTCCTTCCTTCCCCACGCAGTCGATGACATAGACCCAGCCACGCGTCTATGGTTAGACTGGTCTCTGCAAGGTGTGGTGGGCACCACTCCTGAACGTACTTGATCTGACGTACTCTCCGGCTGGTGTGTCTGGCAATACCGGAAACAGGAAAAAATATGCAAACCCTCAGCGCACTAGAAATGTCGAGCTATTGCGCGTAACGTTTCGCAGCCAACATACTGCACCATAAGCATTAAATAAAAACTATATTTTTTGCACCATTTAAACTTATCATGGATTGTTTTAGGCTACAAATAATCTAGGGGTTTGAAACAGCTACATCGCCTCAGACAGACGTCGATGGACGCAGTGCCATGCCAAACTGTACGCTGCCGTTTGAGATGCATGTGGGTCATGGTAGATTCATGGGTAAGGGAGGAACCAGAGCTGTTCCCAGCCAATGCTCTGGACCACCTGTCAGTTTCAGTGCGGGTCCGGGATCGAACCGGGCACCTTATGTGACAGTCACCCACGTCTCTAATCACTTAGCCACTTGGGCTGGCCACGAGAGCTATGAAAAACGCTCCTCTTATATCAACACTCATATTACATCATTATAAAAAATGTCCCCGACCCGGGATCGAACCACTGACCTCACAATCAGGAACATGCTTCCTTATCCATCAGACCACACCCAATAATTGAGCCGGGAAGGTTCAATATTGTGTATACTATCTATAATAATTATCTCTTGAGTCAACTGAGCTGTTAGTATCTCCTAAGCTAGCAGGTGATGCCACTTAGGCTGTTTTCACACAACATGGAGGAGGGATGCCCAGGAACATGGCTCCTGGATGTTTCTTCTAGGGCTATGCAATGTACCAATGGCAGGGAGGGATTTCACTCCCTTTCTTTCGCTATCCCAAGTGAGATGTATCCTCTGAACCCCCATATCAGTCAACTGAGGAGGAACATCTGCAGGACGAGATTGCAAGCTTCCTGAGCAAACAAGCGATAGAGAGAGCCGCGCCTAGTCCTCAAAAAGAGCGAAATAGTCTGCTAGTAACTTCATCCCTCAACGGTCGAGATAAGCCAGTGGTGATTTTCCATTGCCATATATCTCTAGAACAAAGTTAGATTGTTACTCTGAAGCCATCGGTATCACTCACAGACCACTAGTATGTAGCCTGCTGTACCACAATAGCACACGCACAAACTCTATCACACAGGTCAAGTACTGTATATACCCTCGTTGCTCATGCGCACAGGGTTAATAGGCCACATGCATGCTTACTCCTATATTTAGGTTGTTAATCAAATATGTGTGCTGTAATTCAATAGTAAGCTTACAGACTGCTGGAACGAGGTGGGCATTAGCGAGTGGAGCGGGATGATGAGGTAGTTGCGTGACCGGAACACTGGGTCGGACTTGAGCATGTCGTGGAGTTTGGAGATGGTGTCCCAGCCGGGCAGGAACACCAGGATGGCCCCCAGCTCCCCCTCCCTGCAGATGGTCTTCACCAGCTCCAGCATCAGTTCCAGAGGGACCTGGTCACCATCCATGTTCCTGAGAGCCTCCACCACGTAGGGTGGGTAGGTTCTCTTGGCCTCCAGAGAGGCGATGTACTCTGCCCGCTCTTGTTCCTCCGTTCGTTTCTTCTCCATGGCCTCGGCCTGGCCTCGCAGGTGCCGCACCCAGCTCGGAGGTCCTCGCCGAGTAGGGGGAGGAGGACAAAATCTGACACGTATGTAGAGAGTGGCGGGACACAGAGGGGGAGACGTAGGGAGAGAGGGAGGGAAAGGGGGTGAAGGACAGAAGGATGAATCGAACAGAGAGAGAGAGAAGGGGGGAAGAAGGGGAAAAGAGAGGAGCACCAGACTGCGATAAACGTAAGACTGGTTTAAAATTTACATACCTTATTGGATATACAAAATGCACCATTTGATGCTCAACACTGTGCATGCACATCAGCTGATTATAGCAGCAATCAATATGCCCACTCACAATGAGTCATTATGCTCAAACCTGGTCATTTGGAGCACGTCCTCCAAGAAGTACCGGGCCACTGGGAACACCACGCTGGGAATATTGTACATGGGTACTCCACCTGAGACCAGGACACACACCCAAACATGAAACAGACTCTGGTGCTGTTGAATGTCAGTGGCCACGGCTCTAACTCACCAAAGTACTGTGAGAATAGCTCTGCATTGAGAGTGGCACTCATGAGGATCACCTTCAGATCTGGCCTGGTGGGGAGGAAGAGGTTCGTACAGACCTATACATACATAGGTACCATACACACACTCTCACATTGATGTACACATACATAATGAGGGGCATAATACAGACTTGTTGCTTCTCCATGTGTGTAGAAGGTTACAAGTTTCAGTTTTGCCTAAAGGTATGTATTTCCTCCAGCATTCCTACAGCAACAATGCACTATTTTCCTTTCACACTACAAACACATTTGTACAAACTGCCATTATACCAGTAAAAACCCCTGCATTTCATTACTCTTATGTCTGTTACCAAGTATTTGTACGAGTGAATAATTAAGTGTATGTGTGTCATCAAGATCGATGAGGTCGAAGCAAAGCCAAGGGTAACAACACAACTACACATAGGACACCTCTTTTTCAAAAGGAAATGAAAAGCACTAAAGTGCCAAACCCTCTGTGAACTGCGCATGTGCGGTACCACTAATTGATGGGCTGGGCTTTTAGTATGCGTTTACTCATGGTCTCCCACTAGAGTAGCTCGCGGAGAGTCTGACACGGGCTAGCTACAGTAGTAGATCGCATGCTGGAGTCGATACATGCCCTTTGTTGTGACTTCTTGTGCCTTCAAGATACACAGAGTGAGCGGACGTGGTCGAGGTATAAGCCTGTGCTAATTTGCATATTGGCTTGTTCACTTGCTTTTCACGCGAACGCAGTAGTTACACAAAAATTCCAAGTACAGTAACCCTCGCTGTGCATGTGCACCAAGGGTTAATAAGCTGCCCTGGGTGGGATTCCAACCCACGACACTCTGCACTGTAGACGAGCGCTCTAAAGCTCAGGTACCAGGGCAACTCAGAAGGTAGGCTACAGCAGAGTATACTCTCACTCACCATGTACTATAACTAGAGTATAAACCTGTGAGGAAGGATGTCTCTGAGGACAATGATGAGAAAGTCTGACTGGACACTTCTCTCGTGGACCTCATCCAACACCACATGACTCACTTCCCTTAGCAGCCTAGAGATGGGAGAGAAGGGGGAGAGAGGGGGAGGGGGAGGAGGAGGGGAGAGGGGAGAGGGGGAGGAGTGAGGGGAGAGGGGTGGGAGGAAGGGAAGCAGAACACTCATCAGTGAACGAAGCAAGCACCTGAATTGCAGTGCAAAGTCAAACTTGACCAAATTTCTTCTTTTATTCCTGAAATGCTTCTATGGCCTTGTTCGTAAATGACAGGACCAGAGAAATAGGTTCCATAATAGGTAATTATGAAGTCAAAAGAAAACGAATTGGACAAAAGCACAGAACAAATGGCTCTCTGGCAGCCTGCCCATAATACCATCTCCAATCCCACAAACTTCCTTCTACCCTCTCTTTCAGGACAATTGTATGAAGATGACATACTACAAAGGCTGACTACTATTTAGTAGTACCCACTACCCACCCTTAATCGCCAAGCGTGTAACTCTTACACAATATATCATGGTACCCTGCACAATGATAATGGTCAGGGTTAGACCCCAACACCTGTTAAGTCACCAGATCACTATACCTTTTAACTGCAGCAATACTGTATACGCATGGATAGTGTAATTCGCAAACAGTGTGAAATCAAAACGTAGTTCATTTCTTCTAGGAAGAACACTAAAAGTGAAGAGCGCATAACTTCATTCATTCATTGGCAATAATGCACTGTTGATACATCATACAATACGGTGTACTCCACACCATTTTTCATCATTGACTACACATTTACACAGCAACATGGTATGCATGTGCCTTTCCTTTCCTTATCTTCCCTCCAATTTCATACGCATGTATACACTAACATACTGCCTACATCATCACATACGTATTAAAATGTTAGGCACAGCACATGATAGTCATGTGACCTCAGGGAGCTCACGAGTCATTGATCATTCTCCTGAGGAGGATCCCGGTGGTGCAGTAGAGGATGGAGCCTCTCTGATCGGGCAGCTGGTTCTCCAGTCGTATCTGGAACCCCACACTCCCACCCAGCCTCTCTCCCCTCTCCTCTGCCACTCTCTTGGCCACTGGAGACACACACACACACAGCCATTGTATTTAAGAAACGGTTACATGTAGTGAAAATGGTGTAGGTGGTGTGTATTGGTTCAGGCTATCGTGTCAAGATACGAGTTACTAGCTGCACCTCATACAACTCACACACTGTTAGGAACACAGCTTGGAACGAAACATACAGAATTGTGTTGAGTAAAAGGAGTGAAGTCCTATTATAGTATGTGACTTCATGCATGCACAATGACCTAGATAGCTGTGTGCAAGCAATGCTGACTGCGATAGATTAAGAAAAAGAGCAGTCAGTGGACATTACACAACATGCAAACAGATACTGGAGCGTTATACCTGAGATGGCAGATATTCTCCGTGGCTGAGTGCAAATGATCTGGATCTGAGCCCCAAACCCTCTCTCCACTGCATCCTCTAGTATGAACTGAGGCACCTACACACGTGTACACACACACACACACACACAGTATGATGCAGGGCATGCATTGGTAAGGCAACACGCCATGGGACCTGGTGCCGGGTCTAACCTGAGTGGTCTTGCCACAGCCAGTCTCTCCACTCAGTACCACCACCTGGTTCTCTCTGATTAGCTCCAGAATCTCCTCCTGCTTTTCCCACGACGGGAGCTTCTGACGAAACTCCTGCACACACACACACACACACACACACACACGTTACACAGACTTTACTGTCCAAACTATATGCCCTTGAGCCTTAGTTTTACACTGTACATACGTTAATAAATCTAGTTGAGATTACTATCAGAAGTCTGGAGGTCTTATTTTACAGATTGTCTATAATAATTAGAGGACACACGTCCTATTGCAACTACTAATTGTGGCAACTATTGTAGCTTTACTGAATTTAGCTGCAGCTAATAGTTTGATTTGATGGGATTAGCTAGTGACGTTAGTGGGCTACGTGGTCGATGTAACAACAATCGTCATAGAAGAGAACTACTAGCAACTGAAAGAGGTTGTTCCTGGACTCGCTAATAAAGGAAGTCGGCATGCTGCGTCCTGGTATGTTCATTTCTGTGTATGCGGTCTGGCTATGTACTCATGCTTCCCGGTAAAAATTAGGTTGGCATTGCAATAAGGTAAAGTAGAGTCAATGGAAAATATCGAACGGAACGGTTATAATATGAATGGAAAGGGAATATAAAGAGAACTTCTACCATTACCAACTTCTAAAGTTGCTAATTGCACTCCACGTATAATTGCACGTGGGGATCAAAAGAGAGCTCCCTCACCAACCATCATTTTCTGGTACTTGGTGTTGGTCTGCCTCCTCCTGTGCAGCTCAGCCTTCATATCCCGACTCAGTCTCTCCAGTTTCTCAGAGTCCAGTCTGCCAGTCTCTCCACCTCCACCACCCCACTGCAGTAGAACAGAGCAATACATACATACAGCACCACAACACAGTCAAAACATGCAAAATAGCGGGAAAAGCAGAGTATCAGGCATGGTGTGTGTACACCGCCGTTGAAAAACAGTCACTGTCGTCAATGAAAAGCACTAAAGTGGAAAGAAACCCTGGGCGAACTGTGCATCCGTGCCGAGGGTTAATAACAACCTGCAACCACATTTGCAGTTTTGTAGTTCTCTAGCATTAGACAGCTTACGTATGTATTTTTCAACTGCTGTATACGGATTCTCTTGTAGCCGCTACCAGGCTGCTATACATCGTTGTTAGATGTGGTACTTTAGCTTGTGAAATAATTATGCATACAGTTGTACTCTAACGCTCATTATGAACAACAGTGCACCTGATGAAGCCTTTGAAGGCCCCCCATGGGCAGATGTGGGTGTGAGCCAGAAGCCGCCTGCCCCGTAGGCTGACCCACGCCACATGCACCCTCAGACCCCCATGAGGAGCTGGGGCCAGGAGTGGCAGAGCCGGGAGCCGGGTCCGAGAACCACGAACTGCTGTGGCCCTGCTGCTGCTGCTCCACGTGGTGACCGTCTGTCAGTGACTCTAGTCTGACGTCGTTTAGAATACGGGAGATGTTCTGCTGCGCCTCCCCACTGATAGTGACAACAGCACGCTGGAGAGAGAGAGAGAGAGTAGTATACACACATTGGATACTAGTCTCGGGTCAGTGTGTTCAGAAAGAGATAAAAGAATGGTATGGCAGTCTCTCTGGTGAATGCGAGCTCTGTGGATCTGCGAACACGAACACACCATTATTATGCTGTGTTGCATAATAATGTGCTGATTGAGCACAACCAAGAATTCGGACATTACATACCGTACACGTTTTGGGCAAATGCACACGAGCAGGGTCTGGGTACGAGACTAGAGGTGTGTGCCCCACGTGACATGGAACATTGTCCTGTCACTACAAGATAACAGATATTCATACGAATAGAGCGGCAGTGTTTTCACCTCATTCTTCTCCCTCTCTTGCTTCTTTTCCTGGCCCTTGTTCTTGTAGTACATCCCGATCGCCTTCCCGGAGAGTCCAGAAGGTGGACCACCGCCTCCTCTGCCTCCTCCTCCCCGCCCCCTGCCCCTGCCCCTGCCGCGACCCCCTCCACGATTGGGACCACCTCCTCTCTTCCTCTGCGGATTATAGCTCATGAAGGACACCTGGAGAGTGCAGAAACGTGGAGAGAATACGTCCAGTTGAAGTAGTCGTGAGGTGTTCCAAATAACGCTCATCGCCTCGCCATCTGCGCACGCGCATTGCCCAACATGGCCCGGCCCCACCACGCCCACCATTTCTATGCCGGAATTCATGGTGGCTATAACAGTAGGCGGTTTCCTGCAGCTTCACCGTTAGAAAGGACAGTTTTCGCAGCTGGCAATACCGGAGGAAGTCTAGCAGACCTATTGCAAGTGAGCGATTTTGACGGAGAAGGCAGCTCGAACATGGAGAGTGCGCTGCACCAGCGGGATCATATCGGAGTCCAGGACGCCGTTCTGCTGGAGAACTACGAGAGCGAGGATGCCTTTCTGGAGAACCTGCAGAAGCGGTTCCGGGCGAACCTCATCTATGTGCGTGAGCTCTACAAATTCTGACGCTGCGTTTGCTGCTAGCTGTGCCCACGCTGATACATCTTGCACGTATACCAAGTGTGCTGGCAAGCTAAGCTAGCTAGAGCTATGCGTGGGATTAGCTATCCCAGTGCTTTTTTATGGTAGTCTCATCAAAAAATATTCCACCTTTTCTCCCATTTATACAATGAAGCATGAAAGTTACATGATCATTACAATTATTGACATACACTGCAGACACCCGTAAAGTGAGAATGGTCTTCATCAGGCTTCAGTGTGTACAACTCTTGCTAAGAGTTTCACAATGCCTTCATTGTTGCAGTCTATTCAAAACGCCTTCATTCTCTAGCTGCTTCTGTTTGTTATTCCACCTATAGATGGGCTAGCCTTCATAATAAACACACACACAAGCGCAGCACACAACTACAAGTACAATGCATTTCCTTGTGATACCAAGTAGTTTCCTGTTACACTTTTCAAGTAGTGATCTACCCATATTTGCCTGAGTTTGGTTGACTATTACCCCAACTTACTGGATGTAGGATGTAGGTGATAGTGTGGTGTTTGGCAGTCTCTAGGACAACACAGTGTTCATCCTCTGGCTCCCAGGCTGCCCATCTCTCACCACAAGAAAGCCACCCACACTATAGTAGCTGGGCAATAACTGTTGATTGCAGAAGTAGCCCACAGGAAATTACTCTGCCCTTGAGCACAATGTTATATCATATCCTATTGCCTGAATCCCCACACACATGCAACTCACACACACACACACACACACACAACCCTTTTAAAAAGGCTGGACATCTGGTGTCCTGGTCCTATGCACTCTATAAATCGTTGTTGATTAAAGGAGGGGGAGGGGGGTGCTGGTGTTTGGTTTTCAGTTCCTTTCTCATTTGGCTGGTGGGCTAAATGTAATAATCTCACACGCACACAGACCTACATAGGGACGGTGGTGGTTTCAGTCAACCCCTACAAGCAGGTCGGTATCTACGACAAGACCACGATGGAGACCTACCGCGGAATCAACTTCTACGAAGAGCCTCCGCACATGTAAGTGGCTCCAATACAGCACTGTCACCTCCCTAGATCTCTAGATCTAATGCAGGAGACTGTGACTTGCTCTAGGTCATTCCAAAAGACATATCTGTATTTGGTCTAGCCTGTAATCAAGCCTAAATAGTTGGGTTTCCCTCCTACATAGTAAAATGCAGGCTTATGAGGCTGCCTTGTCTTGTTTGTGTGTGATTCAGTTCGTCTGAATGCCTATAGCTGGCCCTGTGGCTGCGTTATGTTGGCACGGGGTGTGGGTAGGTTGGTGCATGCTGTCAGCACTATGGAATGGACCAGGCCTCCATTTCTACCGCAGCCAAACAGGTGTAATTGAATTAACCTCGGCTTTCCTCTTTGCAAGGACAAAGAGAGCGTGTATTGCTACATATGTGTGGGAGGTATCCAGCCTTACTCGGTGTTCCAATTGCTGCCATGTATATACCCTCCAGAGCCATGAAAGTGCTGTATTGTACCTGTGCAAGTTTTGTGTCCTAAATGGAAGCAAGTGTAGCTCTGATTAGGGTCTCCAGTTAATAACCTCCGTTAAAAATTAATTTTCATGGTAAGATATGGTACTATAGTGTCATTGAAGTGTTGTTTATACATATCAACTCCCACGTTACTCTCCCCCATCTTCTCTTCTCTCCCCCTCTAATTTATCTTCGTTGCTCCCCCACCTCCTTGCTCTCTCTACTGTACAGCTATGCCATAGCAGACACTGCGTACCGTTCCATGATGAACGAAGGTCGGGATCAGTGTGTCCTCATTTCTGGAGAGAGTGGCTCTGGGAAAACTGGTCAGGAAACTGATGTGAAACTGATTCTTACAAAAAGAATGTTACATACTTTGTCGTTTACACTAGCCTCCATATAGCCCTGTCAATGTGGTATATTAGCCAGCTCTACCTATTTGCACAGTGTTTGTGTCCAACACTGCTTTTCCAGGAAAGCACTCTGGGAAGGTTTGAACAGTGTATCACACTGTACAGAGATTGTCTGGATATTATTGTTCGTGCCTGCACTATAAGGGCTGGGGTTTTCTAAGATGTGGTGAGCTGAGTACTCCTCTGTTGTAGCTGCCAACCACACAGCATGGCCTATACAGGTGATGGTATAGAGTGGTTGCTCACTCAGAGAGGTCCCAGGTCCCCCAGGAGGTCAGGATTACCCAGGTTACCAGTGAAACAGCGCTGTCATCCAGGAATGGTTGCCAAGAGTGCTCTGTAAGTAGAGAGAGCACAGCAGCCCCCTGGCAATCAGAGGGAAGTGTCCTTCCACCCGACCACTCTGCGTCCACATCCCTCAGTTATATTATGTTGCATGAATACTGAACAGCTCACGCTAGAAAGAAAGAAAGAAAAGAGAAAGAAAGCAGGACTTCAGAAGGGCTACAATTAACACACATTTAACCATAAGGGCTTATTTGGGACTTGCAAAAACACGTGAGCTGATGCATGATGGCGGTGAAATGACTAAAACAGGCAGGGACAGTACGGACACAGGCAGTGTAAAAAGGTATCAAAAGGTATTATCAAAAGGTATCAAAATGATCTGCATACACAGACACTGTATTTGCAGCTGATGGTGTCAAATGACAGACCTCTGTGTGTGTGTGTGTGTATTATTTTCCGTGTTTGTATTCTTTGCCTATTGGGCGGTGGACCTGTCGGGATAGTTGGACCTTTGAAAGTTTGAAAGAGGGTTTTTGTTAGTGGAACAGAGGACACACTTGTGATAGTCTTTCCCACTTGCCTCCTGTGAACAGTGGCGATTAGTCCGGCATTCACACACCACATGCAGCACCATGGCTACAGACAGGGCTACTGTTAGTGATACAGAACCATACAGTATCTAGATCCAAAGGATAGATAGACCGTGCTTTCTTATGCACAGAACATGTACAGTTTGACCTACAATGAACTGACTTTTGACGCTCACAAGAAATCAAGACCACTGCTAACAAAACAGCATTCATTGGGCGCCCATAAATTAATTCCACATGCCTACTATCCTGTGTCTACCACAGCAAGAAATTACATGTAACAATAGACCATGTGATGCATACACCACCAATGGGTAATGAAAGCTACGTATTATAGTGATTGGGTAGTGAAGCGAGCCTACACATAGTCATCTCAACGGGATTTTTATATGTGTGAAGGGCACTGCCACTGCACATACTGCAATGTTTCACCTGAAACCAAATAATATGCATGTGGAAAGTAGAACTGCACTCATTTGTGCACCCATTTGCTCGCCAAAAATGCGTTGCATTCTAGTGTGTTACATTCGTAAGCACAGAGATGTTGGTGATGTCATAAGTTGCATGAGGATGTGTGATGTCATCAAGTAATCTTCCTGGGGTGTTGTAGAACAAGTGACAGTTCAGTTACAACCACGCTCTTCCTGTGTCAGGATGTGGAGAACTTTACTTCCCCTCCACAAGAATTTGCCCCTGACCCCAGAGCTGTATATACAAGAGGCTGTGTACAATCAACATTCCTAAGCCTGTTGCAAGGGATTCTGGGTTGCAAGGGATTCTGGCTAGGGCATTCTGGTGGCGAAGGACTAGAAATTGCCCAATTCAGTATGTGTCCCCTAGTGTGTATATACCATAGAGAATACTTGTAGCCTCACTGAAGGCAGTGTGCAGTTCTTGACAATGTGCTAAATCAGCAGGTTGACTGAGTTGGCTAATCTACGGCCATACATGACAAATTGATGACATGTGCACAATTTCCCCCTGCCTTATTAAGCATTTACTGCCTTACATTGTGATAATCTGCACCTGGTGATGGGTGTGGGAAGGGTGTATGTTCTACCAATAATTACTTTGATAATGTAAGGAGCCTCACCCACCTGTCCACGGAATTAATTTGATTTCTCAATCACTTCACCAGAGGCATCAAAGTACCTGCTACAGTACTTGGCCCAGTGCATCGGTCACGCCGGTAAAGTGGATGTGGTGAAGGACAGACTCATTCAGTCCAACCCTGTCCTAGAGGTATATATATACAATAATAATAATTATACATCTATTCAGTGAATGTTCCATTAGACTTTACTATGTATTGTGTAGTTGACCCTCGGCGCATGCGCAGTGCGCCAAGGGTTTGCACTTCATTTAGCTACCCTGGTAGGTTGGGGCCAAAGGGTGCCTGTACAGTATATAAGTCAGAGTTGCACGCATAAAACAATTGCAATCGTGTGGCTCTCTTCTGTTCTAGAGTATTTACGTGTGTTTCCTTTATCGAGGTAGACTAAAGATGATAGTGCTTCTCTCACTCTTTCATTTCCTCTTTCAGGCGTTTGGGAATGCAAAGACAAATCGTAACGACAATTCCAGTCGTTTTGGAAAGTACATGGACAGTGAGTTTGATCACGCGGTGAGTTGTCTGCACATCAATACTCATGCATAGTGTACTC